GGGACTTTTGTGAAATGTGCCCCATTTTTTGATGTATCTCCATGGCTGATGCGCATACATGCGCTTCGGCACTTGTGTGTTGTAAATCAAATCGATATAAGCCATTCAGCTTCGGTGCTTGCATCAATATCCTGCCTTTACGATTGGATATTGTGCATTTCTGATCAGCTATTTGTGTGTTATAGCCTGCATCATCGCACCGGCCGATCGAGATGAGGGTAACAGCCATTTTTGGCGCGTAGAACGTATCCTTCAATGTAATGTTCACAGTCTTATCTCCAACCTTGTTAGATAGCACGAGTGAGCCTGAACCGAAGGCATCAAAAGTGCCTTTGTTGGCTGCACGAATTGTGCGCGGCTGTGAGAATGGACTGTAATCCCTCAATAAATTCTTGTGAGGGGTCATATGTGCGGTCGTTCCAGTGTCGAGGATAACAACAGTGTCCAGAGATAAACTACTCAAATTAGAGCAGTCGAAGTTGGCGAAAGCGGCTGGACTGCCACTCTCATCCTCCTCAGAGGACACTTCTTCGGCAACATTCGCCTTGGCTTTGCCCTTCTTCTTTTTGGCTTTCGCTTTCTTCTTCTGACGTGGCCCCTGGCCTTCTTTACCACCTCCTTTAGCCCAGCAACTTTCTATAGCATGTCCAGGCTTGTGGCAATTAGTGCATGCAAGCACCTTCGGGTCTTTCCGGCCCTTCTGCCCTTTCGTAGATGAACCAATAAATGCCTGCTCTTCTTGTGAAATATTGAGGGTCTTTCTCCTGTCATATTGAGCCTTTAGTACTCTGATAATATCATCAGGCACTAAGGGCATTCCACATTCTTCGAGCGACGTGGTAAGGGCATTCATAACTGCCTCATAGGAGGGTGGAAGTGATGCAAGGATGATGTCGGTGAACTCTCCTTCAGAAATTCTGGCTCCCATCTCATTGAGACGAGCATAGAGGTCTTGGGCCTTGTCCAAGTGATCTCTCAAGTCTCCATCCTCAGGACACCTCATACTGCGAAGCTGTCTCTGTAGGTTGGTGAGGACCATCTTGGGCTTTTTGGTCATCTCATTGACCAATGCATCCCAGACTTCTTTTGCTGTATGTCTCTTCTGTAGCATCAGAGCTAGTGACTCTGACACTGAGACGATTATTTGGGTTTTGGCCTGTCCTTCTCTGGCAAGATACTTTTCCAGCTTCTCCTCAGCCTTCTCAATCTGAGTTTCCTCAGCTTCTGTGAGAATATGGCCTGGGGGCATGACTGGAGGATCAGGAGGTCGAATGGCTCTCCCTTCTATATGCCTGAGTAGATTTTTGGACTCAAAATAACTTGTGAGAGTAGCTCGCCACAGAGGCCAATTACTTCCATCTGTTGCAAGCTTCTCCACACCCAAAAGCTTCTGCGAAGTGTCTGCGGGGCCCATAACCCTTGTTAGCAACTAGGGGCTATGGCAGGGAAGGTTCGGTAGAGTTCTTAGAAAGCTAGAATCAAATATACTCTCTCAGTGAATTTATTGTCACTGATATATTAATACAATACCTAGAATCAAATATACTACATGATTTTCAGTCAACATGCTATGTAAATATGAAAGATACTACTCGCCTCTCTCAGTGAATTTATTGTCACTGAGAGAGGAGTGTAATCCTGTCTCAGAAGGCATATACTTGCACCCGGCCCTTTAGCGCCCAAGGGCTCGCGCGTCGAAGTCATTTCAAACTCCGCTGGGTGCAGCCGCCTATGAAAATAGAAATAACAGAATGGAATGGAGAGATAGGGAGTGACTAGAAAATTTCGAAAATAAGCAGAGAAGTGGATGCATAGTACAAGAACAGTATGAGAAAATATTGAAACATTACACAATAAATTGAATATATTATGCTTGATTTTGGTGCAGGAGCATAAATGCACCCAACAGCTATCCCTGTTTTCCCTTTCACCACCACTCTTCCATGTTCGCTCGGCTTCGCTCCATTCAATCCCTGCTCCATTCACTATTCGCCACCTTCACCAAATGACCATTCGCTACTCGCACCATTCGCCAGTAGCCATGCCACCAAACACGATCAACATCCTTTACCTGGATTGATGGTTCATCACTGGTCCCATCATCTTCTCAACTCAACCCCCTTTGGGTGTTCCTATGGCCAGAATGCATTCGCGGGGCATCCTACCCGTAGGTCATGTGGGATCAACCCAGCAGACGAAGAGTCCGTGCAGGGTAGTGTATATGCAGGTACCAAGGCGTGTTTTCGTACATAGGGGCCTTCGCCCTCTTTCCCCTCTGTCGTTTCATGTTCGCACCCCTCTTCGATTCTATTGTATGTCTATTTCATCTATTATGTATCCTGACCGCACACCCCTATCCAACCCTGACTCCAGACGGCCTCTTTCCTATTCGCTAGCACCATATGAGCATTCGGTATAAGTAGTCTACATTCGCATGTATATTCTCCAGTTTAATTATCATACGTCCATCTTGTGCAAACTTGACCTCGCTGTGACCATCGTCTTGAGCCTTCTCCTGTAGGTTTCTATCTTTGACCAGAAGAGGATGTAGAGGACAGGAATTATAGGCAGTAGGTATGGACTTGTTGCTCAAAAGAATAGACTAGAAATTAATTCACTCTCTCAGTGAATTTAGTTGTCACTATAAATATATTATACACTACCTAGAAATTAATTCACTACAGAGGATTTCTAGGTCAATAAATCGAAGGAACACTAGACTAATTTACTTGCCTCAAGTCATTTCAGACTCCGCTGGGTGCAGCCGCTTGTGAAAATAGAAATAACAAAATGGAATGGAGAGGTAGAGAGTGACTGGAAAATTTCGAAAATAAACAGAGAAATGAATGCATGGTACAAGAACAATATGAGAAGAGATTGAAACACCATACAGTAAATTGAATATATTATGCTTGATTTTGGTGCAGGAGCATAAATGCACCCAACAGAGGACTTAGGCATCACTGGTGAGTTCTCATACTTCATCTTTGTTACCTTAGCCTTTGAGTTATTTTCTGTGCTGTCAGCGAAGGGCTCCGAAGGAGTGCCTTCGCCGGCGAAAGGATTGTTGCTACTTAGACAACCTTTCCGTGACACCTTGCACGTTACATCGTCAAGTGCCACGGGCTATTTCGCTATGACTGTAGATCAGGGCGAATTCCTTTCGAGTAACCCTCTTACTTCTTAAACCTTACCTCTTCGGTACTGTTCGCTGGGCGATTCGCTAGATCGCACACGCTGTTCGGGCATTCGCCACTAACATGCGATATTAACGCCCAAAATCCAATCTTGACACAAACTTGACCTCGCTGTGATCATCGTCTTGAGCCTTCTCTTGGAGATTTCTATCTTCGACCAGCAGAGGACTTAGGCATCACTGGTGAGTTCACATACTTCATCTTCGTTACCTTAGCCTTCGAACCATTTTCTGTGCTGTTGGCGAAGGGCTCCGAAGGAGCACCTTCGCCAGCAAAGGGATTGTCGCTACTTAGACAACCCTTCCGTGACACCTTGCACGTTACATCGTCAAGTGCCACGGGCTATTTCGCTAGGACTGTAGATAGGGCGAGCCCCATTCGGGCAACCCTCTTACCTTGTGAACATTCATCGGTTCATCTATTCGCCAAACGGCATACTTATTCGCACAAGTTATTCGGGCATTCGCTGTGTTCACTAATACACGATATTAACGCCTAAAAACCAATCTTGACAACACCTTGCACGTTACATCATCAAGTGCCATGGGCTATTTTGCTATGACTGTAGATAGGGCAAGCTCAGTTCAGGCAGCCCTCTTATCTTCTGGACATTTATTGGTTCACCTTATTTGCCAAACGGCACATCTCTTTGCACAAGTTATTCGGGCATTCACTGTGTTCACTAATACATGATATTAACGCCTAAAAATCAATCTTGACAGCATTCTGGACCTGGGACATGTGAGTCCTATAATATATTGATCACCATCACACTTACCTCTTTGGTCTGCTCCTTCTCCTCCTCACGGGTCCCCCTCGCATGTCTTTTGAGGTGCTGGATCATGTCGAGTTTGCCGGACAGGGAGGCAAATGCAGGAGGATCACACTCCAGCTCCTTGGCAAGTGGTGAGCGAGCTGAGGTTTTTTTCCCCCCTTCCAAAGGCATATGGGTCAGTTCGCATGCAATCATAGAACATTTACACAGCAGCTTACCTCTACCCATCCCAGGAGCGATGTCACCTTGTTCTTCAAGGTCTCTGCTTCTCGGTTCAAGCAGAGCCTCTCTTTCTGGACCATTGTGGCGACTGCCTTCCACCATTCACCTACCTTGTTGTGCAGAGCCATGTAGGGATTAACATCAATCCAGATCCTTCGTAGAAAACTCCTCCCTTGGTTTCCACACCTTGGAACGCGTGGAGCCTAAGGGGGTCCTGAAGGGAGAGCGACTGGCTGAGAAGATGGTGCCGTGCTGGGTGGACGTGACGTGTTGGTTGAGTCACCAAGGAGCACGTCTGAGGCTGTAGACGAGACGGTTGTCATACTGTAGAATGAAGCCGGAGGGATGGGGTCCATGGGGAGACTTGTCGGCCCTGGAGCGTTGGGAGCGCGGCCATGGTGGACGTCAGTGGACACGTTCTGAGATAGCAAATTCTCACGCTGAGTCAGTAATTTTTAGCTACGCCAGAATATTCCAACCTAATAATTATTGGTAACATATACTCTCTATTTTCACAGATCTATGCAGACTACCGCAGATTGAGCTACTCAAAACGGTACATGCCAGCGCTCGCAGTCTGTTCTCATCTGGGGGTTTATCACTTATCTGCTCTGGGCATTTTTTGAGGGAGCAGATTTTCCCCCATCCGATCAATGCTTTTCAGGCTTCAGCGTCACCCAGCAAGCAACTCAGTAATTTAGAGTCCCCGTATACTAAGGACCAGGAAGGCGGCTCGTCGGGGCACTGAAATCAGTTGCACCGAGTTCAGGGGTCAAAAATGATGAATGTACTGCAACATAAATATTTGCCCACTGGCTGATTCGAACAACCGACCTCTCCGTTACGAGCGGAGCGCAACTACCGCTGTGCTAAGCGGGCGTTATGCCTTCTGGTCAAGGTTAGTATCAGACATGATTGCGCTTACGAGTCTCTGGAGCCGTTCCCTCCTTACTAGGTTCACAAATAAGATCAGGGTCTATTACGTATGAAAACGAACTAGAATTGAAGATAATCCCATGTATGAACAAGTCCTCCACACTAATATACTTATAGATTGTACCGTTCCCTTAACCGGTCCTGAACTTGCGGTGGGAAAGAGCCGAATTGGGAATTCCACTGAGGACCGCTCATTTCTTTCAAACCAGTCAAAATCTGTAAGACGAAATAGATCAGATGACGGGTAGCATATGGGACCCAACTAAGCGTACGGATTTGAACATGTCATTCAGCTCTGGTGTTGGGTTTCCCCACTGTGCGATAGCGTTGCAGAACCAGAAGAAGCTCTGTAAGAGTGACGTTAAAGGAAGATATCAAGGAGATTAGGTGGTTTGTGCCTTAGCAATTCCCTGGGGGTTGACCTGGACGAGAGTGCAAAAACCTCTAAAGGCAGAATCCTTCTCTTCGTTGTCCCGTATCTCAAACAGAGCTTGACACCTGCAACGACCAGTGGGTTCCCCATTAGACATTGAAAAACAAAGGGGGGAGGAGGCATACCATTGTTCAGCAAAAACTTCCAGTTGAGGAGCAAGCATAGTAGGCTGGATGAGTCCTATCCGTCCGAGCGTAACGGCAGCATTTTCATGCAGACTGCGGGGTGCTTTGGCGTGCAATAGACATGGGATTAGATGATGGACCAAGCCAGGTACCCACTGCGCAAACTCGGGATCTGGAAGGCTGAATGAACGACGAAAGCATCATAAAGATAGTGAGCTATACAAACCAACACCGTAGCGAAGTGCGACCTCTCCGACAGACCAAGCCGCGTTGTTGCAGGCACTGACTTCTTCGGGCTTCGGTTCCGGATAAAGCTGTGCGACAAGTTCGGGCATGATTTGAGGCATAAATGGCCGCAGAAGTTCGAAACATTTGACTGCCATGTCACCAACCAGAGCATACGACGATTGTCGGACACTGGGCTGTGGATGCTAGGACAAATGGTTCAGACCAGTCTCATGCATATGGCGACTGAACACAGCTCACTTTCAAGCAAATACTGATGAGACTGAAAAGCGGAGGGTTGCTGTTCTCCAATAGTGTCTTCATTTGCATGCCGAGTCCTTGGACCATGCCGCTCAAAAGATCTATTGTTACGACAAGAAAATCCTTATCCGGTTCCTCCATTTCGGGATTCTGCTGGTACGCCTGATACTGCAGAAGCTGTTGCTGCACTATGCTGCAACACCGCTCATAGATCGGACTGGCGTAGGGATAAAACGCAGGCCCCATTGCAACCGTCACCGACGCAAGACACTAAAAGGGATGGCTATAGGTACAATCGATGAAATAGACCTAACTTTGACTCACCTCAAGGAGAGGTACAAGATCCTCCGGATCATCTTTCAACTTACCCCATCGTTTGATCAAAGGAGGCATTAGGATCTCGACATAGGCCGGATTCGACAGAGCCCGACCAACAGCGTCCGCAAGAGTACCCACAGCATCATACAAGATAAGTAAATTTTTGGCTTGATACTTGTCGAACGCAAACACAAGATTGCGCAGTACAGGATCAAGGAAAGGCTCGAGTTCGGCTTGGGCTTCTTCTTCCAGAGTGGAGAAGGCACTGCACCCAGCCTCTTGCACTCTTTTGTGATTATCCAGTACCATTCTCAGCAACTGAGTAATCGTTCAATCACCATCCAAGTCAGAGGTGAACCATGAGACGCACCCCTTCCATGGTAGGTACGAAGTATGTGGCGCGATGTTCTTCGGAAGTGACTTGAGCTATCCAGCTCGCATATCTTCCCAATGTCCAGCAAGTTATAGAACGAACAAGGGGCTGCGGCCAATCTGTCTGAGTGATATATACAACCGAGACCAAACAGACATACTTTAGGATCATTCAACATATTAATTAAGTATGGTACCAGCACTGGCAGATTTGGAACGATGGCCTCAATGCATCCTAGCCTGTGTCAGCGATCGAGTGCATCTAGCTGGAAGTCCACTCACCCTCCGCCATCGCGCCCAGCGCTAGAATACCACATTCTCGTTGCAACCAGTCCTGGCTCCATAGCTTCTCTTTTAGCGCCGGTAGGGAGACATCCATCAGCTCGCCGTTGAAACGTGTCGCCAACACATCAAAGGCAGCGGCGGCACATTTCCGCACGTTCCATTCAGTGCCTATTTCATCGTCAAAGTCGTCCACATCATCATCATCAAAATCATCCCCAAGGTCGTCTCCGTTATCTCCTGCTAGAGCGCCGTGCCTTGTCCCATTGGTACCGGAATTGCTAAGATCAGTTGTCCGTTCTAGACCATGCTCTTTCGCATCATAATGCTTCGGCTTGATGTCACTTTCTTTGTCCGGGATGTGTCCATCGTCCTCATCCGCAATAGCCCAGTCTAAGTCGTTTTCGGAGTACACCATACATTCCAGTAGCGCAAATGCCACTTTTGGGAGTAAAGGACGAAGGTAGTTCTCGAGGTCAGGTTCTTCTGCGAATGTCAGCCAGAAGTCGCACGCTTCAAGAGCAACGTCCTCGTTCTTGTCCTGCGTCGAGTAGAGCATGTATTCGGCCACGTTAGGCATCTCTGGCACAAGTTTATCTGCACGGAAGGCAAGAAGTAAGACCAATGCTTGGCAAACATTGCGTCTAACTGTGGCATTGTCGTCCGAGGCTTGTTTGAATAGACAAGCAATGAAATTGTCCATGTGTGCGAAGAGGGACTGTGACTGTATGTGTATGAGTTGAGAGAGAGAGGCGATAGCGTGTGATCGTATTTTGGCCGAAGGATGTTCGGAGAACGCAAGGAATTTAGGAACCATGAAATCGAGAGGGCGCGCACCGTCCATGTCAACATCTAACTTACGTGGAAAATCTTGACACGCTTTTTCTAAGGCATCGAAAGCGCTCTACCCTATTGTTTAAATCACCTTGTCTTCGGGTTCAACAAGCGGACTCACCTCTTGCTCGTCCAGATGTGGAGAATCCAAGACATGAAATAAAATTCTCAGCGCCTCCGTCCAGTTCTTTGGGTCCAAAACGCGCAAGAACGAAATGATAATTTCCCCCGCTACTTTTCGAACTTCAGGGTCCCGGAAAGCTTGTAGAACGGCTCCTTTAGCGAATGTGGCGACCTCTGGTGGGGCTCTAGTAAGAAGGCATGCATTGTTCTTGAGGAGATAACCTGAAATTTCTCGCATATGCTTGCTTTCTTGGGTCATGTTGGCAATGATATGTGCTAGATAACCGACGTAGTCCGGCACTTTGGTGAATTGTTCGAGTTTCTGTGAAATAATGGCGCTCAGCGCGCAGAATGCGCGACGACACAGTAGGTTTGATTACAATCGTGATAGCCTTTTGCACTTCAGGCTCATTGGTACGCGTTGAATTGTGCAGTGTCTCGAGGACCTCTTGTAGCCCGGCGGGTTGGGGTGACCAACCAGACATCATGTCACCTAGTAGCTGAGATATCGTCGTTTAGAAACAAAACGAAACTCTGGCATTAGGACCTATTAGAGACGGGCCCACCGATGTTATACGTGAGGATATATCGAACTATGCAGTAGTGGTATGAACAGCGGGGTGACCAGTCAAAAAGCAAAGCCACAGTTTGGTGACCCACAAGGCACCACTTGGGCGCCCATATCACCCCTCAAAAGTCTTCGAAAAGGCACGAATAATTATCGAATAAGGTCAATCAAGCTTGCATCTCATGTCGTAATGTGCTTGTTCCTTTTCCAAGCACACAGTACGCTTAAGCTACACAGAAACTTGGCCCTCCCCATAACGTGACTCAGTGCAAATGCTGAAACGCACGCGATGGTAAATAAGTTCATCCAGCTACTCCTATTATTAGAATGGATCATGCTGGCAACTCGAATTTTTGTCCTTGCAGTACTCTTCTCCCAGTGGCATGCGTTAGTCTCAGACAACTATCAGCATGGCTCACACTTACCTAGTGAAGTAGATGTAGAAGAAGTCAAGATACAGCGCTGTCTGTACGAGTCCCGCTACAACAGCTATTGGATCAACACTTCCTTCTGTGAAATACCTGTCCCAAGCCTCAATATCATATTTCCATCCCAACGAGGTCAAGAACTGTTGCACTCACCGGTATATCCAGTTGGGAATGTAGAGCCCACGATAAGCACCAAGAGCAGCAAGGTAATGTGTTGTAATAGCCTCAGCTTCACCGGTCCGTTGCAACATGAAGAGCTGAGGTAAGATTGCCACAGCTTCTAGGTAAATGGAGAAAGCCCATAGGATCTACGATACTCGTCAATGCTAGCACACGTCATATCCAATGAGCCTACTTCGATGACTGTAAATTTATAGTTGAGTATGAGAGCCAAAACTGCACACGGCCCAAGCAAATATTCGAGCCTGAAAGTGTCGATAGAAGGGTCGTTCGTTGGTCTGGACATCCGGGAGATACAAAAATCAAGACGTGGCACGGCGTGGCAAATGACTGAACGCACTTATAGCGCATTTTCATAAGATAGAGAATATATCCACTGCTTCCAATGAAGAAGAGCTTCATTACAGTGTTATAAAGCGATACGAAGTCCCCAGTGAAAAGATCAAGGTAGCGGGCTACGAACACTCCTACGTAAAGGGCTTGTGTTTTGAAAGAGATGCCTTGGTGCACGTTCAGCACAAGACTCAGTGCTGAGATGGAGAAGCTGTACCTCGACATGATCTTGATACCTGGATCTTGCGCAATAGGATGAAAATAGAGGCAAGGTGTGATAAGTCCCCTGGCCAAACATGAGTCAAGCAATGTCTAATATATGAATAGTGAGCCACGCACCTAGTAGTCGAAACAAATTCATATTGGACGTCGACCTCCAATGACTACGCAAAGATGATGACTTTACTTGCAGCTGAAGTGTCAAGGTAGGAGACGCTGCTTTGATGATTACATAAGCCGCC